GAGGGGGGGGGGCTAGGTCCGTCTGCCCTGTGTGTACCCGTTCGGACGTTCACTCCGGCTGGGTTCTTGGGAAAGCAGGGGGTAGGAAGGGGGGGGGGGCAAAAGAAGCGGGGGCAGCCGTCGGAGGTCTGACCCGAGTCCCACGGGGACCATGGGCTGGCGGGGGAGCAGGCACCAAATGCACGACAGAGACAGACAAGGGATTGGGGGGTGGTGGTGGTGGTGGGGAGGTGTCAATATTGTTGTCAGACAAATGTCATCGGTGTGCCTCCCTGCTTGCTGGAGTGCTGACGCGCAGCTAGGGGAAGGGGAAAGAGGGGCGGGGGGAGGGGGGGGGGCTAGCGAGCGATAACAACCCCTCGGACAGTGTTGCATGGCCAGGCCGGGGCTCGGAAGCACGACTCAATTACCGTCTTTCTTCCTCCCCTCCTCCAGTTTCGCTCCGATTTATTCTTTATAAAAGGCCATCTCCTCGAGCGTTTCTTGAAGAAAGATGAGCTCTCTGTCGTCGCCGGACGCATTTCCGCGAAGCAGGGTGCGGAGTGGGCTGTTCAGCACGTGACACAAGCCCACGCCCTGACAAGAAGAAGGGTAGAGATTAGAAGGAAATAACAACACATTTTTCCTCGCGTATTAACGGCGCGGTGCGTCTCTGCAACAACGAGTATTTGCGAGGGGTGCCCAACTGAGGTAATCAGGTGTACACAGAGTAGGTAATCCCTGGTAATCACCGGTAATCATTGGTAATCGCCAGTAATCCTTGGTAATCGCCGGTTATCCTTGGTAATCGCCGGTTATCCTTGGTAATCGCCGGTAATCCTTGGTAATCGCCGGTAATCCAGGGTAATCGCTGGTAATCCATGGTAATCACTAGGTAATCGTTGGTAATCACCAGGTAATCGTCGGTAATCACCAGGTAATCTTTGGTAACCACTAAGTAATCCAGCAAGGAAATTCCTGGTAATCTTTAGTAATCACTGGTAATCTTTGGGAATCACTGGTAATCTTTGGTAATCTGTGGTAATCTTTGGGAATCACTGGTAATCTTTGGTAATCACTGGTAATCTGTGGTAATCAATGGCAATCTTTGGTAATCTCTGGTAATCTTTTATCAGTGGTAATCTTCGGAAACCCTTGGTAATCATAGGTAATCTTCGGTAATCTTCGGTAATCTCTGGTAATCCTTGGTAATCATTGCTTTTTGGTAATCAGGTGTACACGATTTTTTCGAGTTGGGCACCCCTCGAGTATTTGCTTTTGCAACACGTCGCCCTAGACGAGTGCGGGTTACTCTAGGCTCTGCTAGTTTTCTACTCTGTCGAGGAGCTATGAACTGTACACGGAGTCATAACCTGGGATCGTTATAGATGTCGGGTCATTACTACACGCTTGGCTCACAAAAAAAAAATATTTTTTAACTGTGTATCGTGTGTGTCTGCACTATCACACTGTTTTCCTCGCGCTGACAAAACATTAATAGAAACATCCATGATCGTTGCGACCAGTATGGGTTCAATAATGACAAAGATGTTTTTTGTTAATTAACGTACGAATTTCAGTTAATTAATAGAGGACGATCCACGGACCCATTACTTATTTTGCTTACCCGCTTACCCCGCTTACCCCGCTTACCCCGCTTACCCCGCTTACCCCGCTTACCCCGCATGAAGGAAGGTGTGCCGTCCGGGTTTGTCACGCCTGATGGCCCCGTGCGAGTGCTCAACCCGCCTGCATGCGGTACAGTAAGTGAGGTGTCTGTGGACCACCCTGTAAAAATGAAAATATATGAAAGTTTTCCCGTAAATCTGCAATAATTTGTTTCTCACCCTGAGAGGATGAAGAATAGCACTCTTCGGCGATAAGTACCAAGTCAAGGTCGTTCCACCCGGTCAAAAAAAAACAAAAAAAACAAAAACACTTAAGCGGTTATCCAGAGCCTCTATCCCATGCGATAAGCGGTTGTCAGGATAGCGCCAAACCCGGTAAGCGGTTGTCCCCAGCCGCCGAGGTGGTGAGCGACTTTAGATAGGCGTGGTATCGATAAGAGCAGCTGCTAGCACCTGAGGGGCACATGGCGTGGGCGGGGACACAGCCTGCGACTATATGCCCCTCCGACTCTGACCCCCATTGATAAAGGCTGATATTTCGGAACCACGACTCGTTACCATCGTTACCGATGGCTATCCTCTCCTGCCTGACCAAACACGTCATTCCCTGTGCTCTTGTCGGGAGTGTTGCTGGGGTCTTTCGTGGAGGTGAGTTTTCCCCAAAGCTGCGTGGCCGGCTAACGAGCCACATTACCCAGAAGATCGCCTCTATTTGTCTCGGGCCCGGGACAGACAGACGGACGCGCGCGCGCCGCCGCCGGTGTGCGCGGTGTGCGCTCACAGCCACGAGCATCTCGCGGAGCTGACGGGAGCACAAGAAGGGCCACCGCCGCCGCTTCTCCCCGCGGCGCATGTCGTTTGGCAGCAAACTGCGGCGCATTAAACGTTTAGCCAGAAGCGATACACCCTCT